CAAATAGTCACGTGGATATAGGGAGCATATATACATTTTTTGCACACACAGTTAAAAGCGAGGGAAAAAAAATTATCAGTAAAGTCCCTGACCAGCACTAGGATCCATTCCCAAATGAGTGATGACTTAGAGTAATGGCAAGACAGCCCACTTCTGACAACATTCTCACTCATATCCCTCAGATGGTGATGGGGCAACGTAACCTTGGTCGTGTAGCATTGGGCTGCCAGACACTGGCACATCCCTTCCACACCAGAAGCACTTCCTAGAATGAGTCTCTGGAAATAAAATAATTCATGATGACAGCAGGTTATAAATACATTGAAAAGCAGAAATATCTAACTTCCCCTCCTTCCCTTGATCTCCTTCCAAGCTGCATGACAAGTTACACCCTTTCACGTCTGCCCTCCACATTGTGCAGTCCTCATGGCCAGGCTACCTGCTAACTTGGGATGATGTTTCCTTCGGCTGCTCTACCTAGCCAAGTGCCCCATAGGCTGTGGAACTTGGGCACAGAGTCAGGAACCCCCAAGATCTTGAGTTTTTGCTGGTTCCCAAAGTTCACATTCACAATATCGCTTCTGGAAAGGACATGTATGACCAGAAGCTCCGGTGAAATGCTGGGCTTCCTGCTCCATGCTGAAGTACTGCAAGTCCTGGATCTGTCCCCAGGCTTCTCCGGATGCTCTCAGACATATTGCCTGCATTTACGGTGGTGACCAGGTATAAACTGCTAGCCAACAGAGGAGGATTTGTGTATTAATTCCTCTCATTTATCCTAGTTTAGTTTGACTCGAGTTGCCACTCTGCATTTTGGAAGAAGAGGGTCACCAGTGCGTGTTTGCACACACACAAACACATGCTTGCTTATAGCTCCGCCTCACTACAAGCAGCCCCCAATATTGATCGCTTTTGCCTCACTTTTTTCCCCCCAATAAAAAATGAGATTAGTTTTTGTTGGCTCCATTAATCTGGCATCTGTCCTCTGCACCCTGTAAATCATTGCACATGCAAAGAAGGGCTCAAGCTTTAGCAGTAATATTGATCCACACAGACCTTTGGGTTAGGAGTAAAGCCTCTTTAATTACTTTGGCGCATTTCCAGGGTAGGTCGGGTTTTGTTTTTTTTACAATGTCTTGGGAAGGCTTGTACCATGTTTTAGCATTGTTATCATTTAGCTTAGATTTGGAGTTTGGCTCCCCAGAGAAACACCTTCTATCTCAGCCTGGTTTGCCCATGTTTGGCAGCAAAATCAGAAAAAGTCCTTCTTTTACCTCCTCTAAGGATTTGATAACCTCTACACTTCACTTAGCCAGAGGTGTTTTGACCTTTAATTAAAAGGAAAATTTGTTGTCTTCCATTCAGAAGGCAGCAAATAATGAACTCATTAAAATGAGGTTAGTGCTCAGGCCTTAGAGCAATAAGAGCCGAAGTCTCATTAGCAGCTAACAATCCAGAACACAGCACATAAATAAACCTAATATGGCAGAGCAAAATGCCTTGGTGCATTAAATTTGAGCAGAATCAAATGTTTACAGTCAATGATGTCTGGGGCATGAAGTTTTAATGTACTTAATAAAGGAAAGCAAATTGCTTCCTATTAGGCATGAAATGTTACTGCAGAAATTGCCCCCAAAAAGTTTATTATGTAAATGAAGGATAGAGTTATAATTTACAAGAACAGAGCGGGAAAATATCTCTTCTTCTTAATAGATGCTCCAATTACAAAGAATAAAGACACAGCAACTTCAAATCTACAGAAGGTAACGAAATGGGTTAATGTAAAACATTGCTCAATGTAAATGCAACATAAAGGAAAAACTGATTCTTGTGCATGTCACAGAGAGAAGCCTCACTAAAAAGGCTAAGAATCAATTAAGAAAATTCTGAGAGAATCCGGGCAATTAAGGTTTTGTATCTGAAAGAACAGTTTTGATTACTTAAAAAAACCCGAACAAAAAACAAACCCAAAATAACGCTTAGCTTAGCCTGGCACTGAGATATATCCACTTGTCCGTGTGCAGGTGTGCTCTACGGTTCTTTCATTGGAGAACGGTAATTATTCCGCATGATCTATTTAACTGCCCCAAACCAAAACCGACAGTGAGCTCCAGCTGTTGCTCTAACACACCCTGTCAGTTCGGCGGGGCACACTAACTGTGTTTTCACATGCAAGTAGCTTTCCTCCACTTAGAGCTCTTTTAAGCCTCAGTACTCAGAGTTAAAAGAAGTAATCCCACTGACTCGGAGGAGAAGACACATGCTGGCAGATAGAACTTAAATACTGCCATCAGATAAAACATCCAGGAGAAAAAAAACCTTCTCTGCAAAATAAGATTTGTCATTCTTGTTTTTTTTCCCAAAAATAAAAATACAGTCCATGTTCCTCTATTTGCCTTCTGCTGAAGTTGTGGGGAGCCCTTACCTCTTCTGCCTCAGTGAAGGCAGCAAATTCCTGAGGTCAGGGTGGCCAGGGATGGAACAGGGACTCGCCAGGGCTGCCAAGGGGAGCTGGGGACATCACAGCACGACCAGGCGGAGCATCAAGAGCTGGGTTTACACCAGTCCTTGAGTAGGATTTCCAGCTGTGCAGGAGAGAAGAATTCTCATTATTTACTGTGCAAAATCACCTGCAAAGGCAGTAGGAGTCATTAGCATTTTTGTCTGAATATGAACTTATTAAAAATAGGGAAGGCAGGTCTTAATCACCTAAACAGAGATTGTATTTTTTATTTTAGGGATGTGGAAGATAACACCCCCTTCCAAACAATAGTCACAAAATCAGTCTACAGTAATTTACTTGTCGATATCTTCTTAGTATTAAAATTAGGTGGGGTCATGAAAATGAAGCTTAGCTGCATATTAGATAAATTAATATGCATATATGGAGATTGTAATGAAAAAAAAGTCTTTAGGACCAAGCCAAATCCAGGTTGAGTGACAGATTTGCCCTTTAGACGGGGGAAAAAAGCTTGACACGCTGCAGGTTACAGGATTTACATCTTAATCCTTGCTCTGTGGTTTTAATGAGGCCTCACTGGACTGGAAGGCTTCTGCCTATCCTGCAGTTCTGTCCTCTTATTGAGACGCGAGAGTGAGGGAAATCAGAGAGAAAACCCAAAGTGATATAATGATGTTTGCTTCATGTACCTTCTCACATTGTATGTTAAGTGATAATTATTTCTCAAGATGTTCCTTCCTCTAAGGGAAATTTAATTGATTTTGCTCAGCCCATCACTCTTCCTCAACATATATAAAATGCTCTACATAGCTTGGAAAATGATGTTCTATAATATAATGACTCAGATTCTATGCTTGCGAGTTTAATGGTTTCTGTTTAGTGCCAGTTTTTATCAAATGTCTTATCTAACAGTGGGGTTGATCGCTAAGGTTTTACATTTTAACCAACATTTTGTTGTTATATATTATGTAAATACAGTCCCACAGGTGAAATTGTCACAGGATTGAAATAATCAAGTTATTAAATGTCTGGCAAGACAGGCTGAGAATTACACTGCTTTCTTAACATTTAATGCTAAAGCACGAGATTTACTCTCATGAGATTACTTCCTTTCGCAAGGAAAGGAATGTGCTTGGCTGTTGCAGGTGATAATCACTCTCTTTGTTCTACATCTTCCTTAACACTCAAGAAATGGTCATATTTAAAAAAATAACACTCACTGCCTGACAACCTTTTCTATCACCTCACCCGCTTAGGCAAGCTCCGCTCAGGAATAGGATCACAGAGACCACCGGTCTGCACCTCCCCCGGTGTCATCACTAGGGCTGGAGCAGCAATACTTGGGGTTTACAGGCACAAGCTGAGTTTGATGGTGGTAGTGCTTCTGAATTAGGCCGGTGGGTTGAGCAATAAGGTAAAAATATTTTCCTGTAATATTAAGTGAAATCACAAATGAGCATACAGAACATAATTTCTTTTCAAATTAAAGGAAATAGCAGCTAGGACTGTGTGTAACCCACTGCATCCATTTTGTCTTTGAACTGTGCAAGAACATGAACATTCAATCAATAGAAATGTTATTAATAGATAACAGGAAAAGTTCTCAAGAGCCACGTAATGGAGACACAGAAAATTGATGAAAATAGAGCTTATAACCCATTCAACATTGGCCAGACCAACAGGGAGATAAACGCACTATCCATCTCACGTATGTAGCACGTACAAATTGCGTGGGCTGGTGACGGAAAGTGGGCAGATATCTGTGCAGCAGGGACTATCTTCAGAAACAGTGCGGAGTTGACAACTAACAATAAATGTCGAGAGCTCACACAGGCTGAACCATCTTTTTTCTTTCTCTGGTGATTGGAAATATGTCCCAGAAAAAATGGATAGGTGACCCAGACTACACTTGTTTTGCTCCAATTTATTTAGATTGGTCTTATCTTTTGCTTGGAGGGAAATTAAACAGGGATTTCATTTCTGACCTGGGTATTACTTCTGTCATAGGTCAGATTTGGAGTTTTGTTCATTGATATTTAAGCCTGAATTGGGTATTCAGACACAATCAAACACATTTCTGCAGGTAAGTAAATCCCAACACCTCCACATTTGGATGGAAAGTAGCATTCTTAAGTTTACTTCGGGTTTTAAGCACATTTTATCTGACTTCAGTGACAACCCAATGCATGGGTGCCTTAGTGATTGAGTATATTGCTGCCTCTGAAGGGCTGGCTCCAAGCCCTGCCATATGTCACTGCAAACTACGCATGGTTTATCCTGGTCCAAGTTACAGAACCGTCACCTACCTGGGTACTTAGGTACTAATACCAGCGTTGCTAGACTGTCAAACTCTGATGGAGCAAGTTAAACTCACTGTAATAGTCGTATTAAAAACAGAATCAGCCCAAAACCACGTGTAAAACATTTAGAAGGATATTCTTTATTGAATGTCCTCAGTGGGACACAACTTGTAACATGAGGCATTCCAAAAAATAGTATTCCTTTTTCTAAATGCATGTTAATTTCTTATTTATTTCAGGCTTTACTAGAGACTCAAAGTATACTGCGCACTCAGGTTGCAAATTTTACCTTCAACCTTGGATTTTCAGGAAAATTTTACCACACAGGTAAGAAGGAACTTCATGCTCTCAGGTAGCTGCAGTTAAATAGATGACAGGATTTTAAACTTAGCTTTAAACATGCCCTTTTTAAATAACACACGGGCTCAATGGAGCAGTGAGAAATACATGCTCCAGCATTTCAGCATCCAGTGTCTAATTCAGTGTCCGAAGCGGTAAAGGTACACTATGGAGGAGCTTCTGGGGAGCACAGAGATGCCGTCAGTGCTTTTCTGAAAGATGTGTGCTAGTACATCTCAGGGTTATAAGGGCGGCAAAGTAGTTGCCAAGATCTTTTTAATTCCAGAAAAGGCAGGACACGACTGCAAACACCCTACAGTCTTTTCCAGTATGAGAGGTATGATGAAATATAAAAGACTGGGAAAATCATGTCTCAATCTCTGAACAGGCAGAAGTGTTTGAAGAGGATGCACAAGATTTTGTTATGACTGTAAAGGTGACCTGTCTCACTGGCCTGCAAATCAGGAAGGATGATAAAAGGAAAACAAGTTGAAAAGAAATTCATATTGAAACTCTGCTCCTTTAACAGTCTATGCAGTAACAAGTTGCACACTTAGACTGTGTTGCTGTGGAAGATTAGATGCTTTTAGATCTCCTCCTCATGACTCTTTTCTCTCTTTTGCTCCATTTCTCTACAGCACAATGCCTGCTTCTTTTTGGTGTTTTTTTTCTTCTTTTTTTTCAATTTTTCCCCTCCTCCTTTGCCTTCTCCTTAACACTTCCCTGCAACTCCACTCTTGGTGGCTTCCCTCTGCTGCCACAGAGCCATGCTGCTCCCTAGTCCTGCTAAGGCAAAAAAAAAAGCCATCTTCAGCCACTCACTTGGAAGGAGACACCTCCTGTACCTGCTTTCCAAACCCCCTGCTTTTCCCACCTTGAAACACCAGCTCCAAAATCTTCAGCTCTTGGACCTGTTCAGCCCCATGTAGCGACACTTGCTGAGCAGCGCCTGGGGAGCTGAGAACCTTCTCTGGGGCAGCGAGAGGGTGGGAGGGGAAGCTGAACAGCAAGGAACGATGCAGTCCCAGCTGTCACGGGCCAAGAAGCAGCTGTAGAGGAAGACAGGTCACCCCTCTCAGGTAGGCATAGCAGTGCTTTTTGTTGCCAGTGTTTGAACACCAAACAGATGAGCTTAGCCAGCTCCCTGGGAGAAAGGCAGGCAGGGAAGCATTTGAGGGATGAGCAGAGAGAAGGAAACCAAAATTATGTATTTATATCACTGCCGCTTTCAAAGTCCAGGCTGTTTTCCCCTTGTGCAAGCACATAATGCTAAGCAACTGCTGCCCAGGAAACCTTACGGACTCAAGATACAGGCTGGAGAGCCAGAGAAAAATGAAAGGTAGAGAGATAGAATTACTTGCCTGGAGCCATATAACAAGCCAGTGGCAGACCTGTGATTAGAGAGCAACTTCAGAGATGGAACTTCAGTATTCTCCTCACTTCATCTCGGCCTGCCTGCGCCGTTATTCCTTCTGGAGATTAATTGGACACACACGTTGTACAGCAACATAAAGAAAAATAGCCCGAGGCTCCAAGCTACTCCCACGTAGGATGCTGCTCAGTTGTGGGCACCTAACAGAGGAAAGCTGGTATTAGTCATTACAGTGTCCAGGGCAGAGAAAGGTAATTCAAGGAGGGGAGAAGGTAGACTAGGAGACGATTTTTTATAAATACTATCATGTACTAAACAGTGGCCAGCACAAAACATACAGCTTTTTTACAGAAATCAAAACTCTGACGTGCCAATAGACTTCGGATTCATTTATTTCAACACCCTCCATGTTGTCACAGGTTTTCCTGCCCAGCTAATAATAACGCTGACCAATTTCAGATTTGTTACTGCTGTAGAGAGAAAACAAGAGAAGGTGCACATGGGCCTCTCCTCCTAAGGCTCTCAAGGCTTATAAAAATAGCACAGAATTACTTAATGAGCTGAAGCATGTCATTGCCTCCATTAAGGACCCACTGCAGCCTGCACTCAGCCATGCATCTCACTTCTTAAGTGAAAATTGCATTTGCAGGTTCTTAGTGGTGTTTTCTCATATCAGCTTAGTGGAAAGGTTACAAAGTACTCTCCGTGTAATATTCATTTTATCCACTCATTATAAATAAAACATAGAAAGGTGTTCTTTAATTACTTTAAACGTGGCTTGTTTATCCAGAGACTGGTTTAGGATCAGATATTCAACACGTTTTATTAGCACGCTGCAACTGCTGTGCCTTATCAACTTGCACAACGTGTGATTTTGCTCTCCTTTCTAAAACTTGGATCATTTCAAAACCGCAGGAGGCAGATGAGCATGGGAACGTGTTGGCAGATTAAACAGTTGCACATTTGCATCAAAAGATGTTGCTGACATCTGTACCACAAATCCTGATTCTAGCTGGCGTGCCTACACACAAGTACAACAGCTGACACGTCGGCCTCACTGCTCCTCATCTCAGCACCTGGTCAGCTATGCCCTGCAGACATAGCGCTATTAACAAAAAGAAAAGAAAAAAAAAAAAGGAGACCCTATTAGTTATACAGTTTCAGCAAATGCTTTCTAATTGTCTGTGTTGTGCCAATAGAAATTCAGATGTTATCAGGATTTAACCTTTGTTTAGATTTTGGACCTTAACTTCAAACTTCCTTTCAGTTTTGAGGCCAAGAGACATCCAGGTAGTGGATGTAGTTTTAAAACACGGGATTATTTCTTACACAAAAACAAACTTTGAATTATTACCTATCCGTGTAAAGTGCGTGCTGCGTCGCAAAGCAGATACATGTTCACCTCCTTGATCATAGGTATACTTCATTTTTCAGATTTCACATTAAAAATAAGACACAAAGTTAAGAATGCTTATTGTACAAGAAATTAAAACCTCAGATCCCGTTTTGTCCCCAATACTGTGAATAAGGGACTGGACTAAATTATTTAAACAATAGAAGTACTCTCCAAATGTTCCATTTTACTTCTGCATTAGATTTTTTGCAAATAACACTACTTCAGAGTTTAAAAAAATCAAGCTACACTTATTAAAAGCTTCTAAAGAAAACTATCCTCAGAACAACACCAGCACCAAACGGTGAACTTCCAATCATCCTGTTTCAGCTCAGCCTTTACCCAGTAGCTTGTTCTTGTTTAAACTGGAAAATGTTATGCTTCATCTTGTTTGATTTTTGTTATGGTAAAGAAAAAGTGCAAAGTTTGATCTAAATGTACAAGGACATCACTAAGAAATGGTATTTTAAAAAAGCAGGTTTTAATAATTAAATTATATCAAGAACCACATTCTGCTTGAAATGTAATAAGGCGCTAAATTATACTTGGGCCTAAATCTTGTATCAAATGATTGTAGTTGTTGATACATTTCAAATATCCACTTCTTCATCCCTACCTTGATTTTTCTACCTTGGGTTACCCAAGAGACCTTCAATGGCTTCAGAGTCTCCTGTCTCCTTCTCTTGTGTCCTGGAAGCCTTTTTTAACTGCCTTCCCCCAATCACATTTCCCTTCCGTGCGTCTAGGGGACTGCAAGTGAACCACATATCCCCGCAAAACACAGAGTGTGGTTATTCGACAGATACAGGAGACAAAAGTTTTGCACAAAGGAGCAGACATCGACAGAAGGAGCAGCGATCGATCCTCTCCTCTCAGGAAGGAATTACCTGGAAAACAAGGTTGTTTTCTTTCTCTAGCAGCCCTCCCATCGGCAGGAGCATCTTGCTTAGAACTTGCAGAGTGATTCAGGAGTGAAGCGATTCAGTGACACCAGGAGAAAGTTTCAAAGTAGTGCTCTCTTTGTGTAGTGGCAGTCTTTGAAAAACACTATAAAAGTGAAAAATAAAACTAGAGAGCTGAAGTGCATGCACATTTCTGCCACAAGAAGTAAACAGTGACATCCATGGAGCATTTTCTGCTGAAGAGTTCTGCAAGACAAGCTATGTTTGCATCAGGAGACTGATTTTGACAATTATTTCTTTGACCAAAACTAAGTAAAAGCATTTAAATGGTAAAAGAGAAAGCAAAGCTGCCAATAACCGAATATTGTGGAGTAATTTCAGGGTGAAGTTACTGAAATGTAACTTGGCCTTTCCAATTTTAAAAAGGACTGCTGACATATGTCTGCAGATGTTCAAAGCTGCATTGTATCATTTCTCACATGGAAGGTTTTCTTTGTTATAACCACACATGCTTGTTCCTGTCTGAAGCAGATACTCCTCACTAACCCCGGAGCTTCTATTGTTTTTATTTCAAGATTAAACCTGGCAAATATTGAATACCGAACCACAGGAAACAATATTTGGAACTCCTTTGCCATTACAGCTTCATGTTTTCCACGCAATTGTATTTTCAAACTACTGCAAAGTTATTTCACACTTGCCTAGTGTGTAAAGAACAAAACACAAGTTTAAAAAAGACATTTTCTGCTGTTCTTTTCTACTATACTTTCCTTTCTTGCTTCTGCAGGGACTGAGGAGGAAGACGAAGGCGATGACCTGCTGCTGAGATCTGTAGATGAGTTCTGGTGGTTTCCCCACATGTGGAGTCACATGCAGCCTCACCTCTTCCACAATGAGTCCTCACTGGTGGAGCAGATGATTCTCAACAAAGAATTTGCAATAGTGAGTAGAAGTTAAGAAAAGATTCACTAGGATGACTTTGCATATCACAGCTATGCTTTTCAAGTTGTTGTAATGTTTATCTGTATTATACATATATGCATATATTTACAGAGAGACACGAAAAAGCAGCAAGATGGAAGCTCAGCCCCAAAAAACCTTTCTGTGACTCAAACTGGGGCTGAATTTTGTCATGGCTTTCTGGAGAGGCAGCACCCACAAGGCATTACCCAAGTAACCTTGCAAAAACATAGAATCCAGAAGCAGTAAAAACTCAGCAGATATCAGCTGTATTTTAAGCTTTAGGAAAGCGTTTACTAGGTTATCGGCTTCCTCAAGTCTGATACAAACAAGGAACGGACAAAGTTGCAGCGATTCCTAAATGTTGTGTTGTTTGTGAGAAGTCTTGAAGCTAATGAAGCAAATAAGTGAAGCTGCTGGATTTAACAGTGGCAGGGTTTTTTAGATGACCTGCTTGAAAATATGCTTTCTACATAGCTAACCTGTAGCTAATATTTACAGATAATGATGTTTCATTTTTGCTCATTTGTGTTGTTGACTTACAAGAGCTATCCTCCTAGCATTGCCCAGAGCTCTGAGCACTTGTACTCCAAGGTCAGGTGCAAACCATTTAGAGTCCTTTCAGGGTAATTCTACTTGCTTGTTGAGCATGACAAAGAAAACATGAAATCCATAAAAGCTAGCTTTGGAAAAGGCACTGTGTGGTCTTTGACACGGCATAGAAATGCCAAGCAATCAGAGCCACTCAAAACAGCAGAGCGACACAGTGGGGCCCTCTCTGCCGCTCAGGGGACACAGCTCTCAGCCCTTTGCAGCTCAGCAAGGCCAGCCAGCAGGTGCCCCTTCCCCCCATCCCTCACACAAGCCAAGGCTCACCGGGAAACCAGCAGATGCCTGAACGAGCAATTGGAAGCAAATTATTCTCTTGCTTACAGAAATATTTTCCTAGCAGCCTTTAAAGAAAATTCATTAAAAATGGCTTAGCTGTTTACTCTTCTTGCCAAACTTCCCCTCTTTCCCGTCTCCTGCTTGGCAAGCTGATAGTACAGAGACATTTTGAATTACTACTTTTCCTTTCTACAGTTCTGCTTTACTGTCAGCCGTCATTCCTGGCATGGCCTGTTCGTGCCTCGTGTGTCGCCTGGCTCAGAGGACCAAATACAGTTGAAATCCTAAGTGCAAGCATTTTTTTTCTAAATTATCTGTATCTTAAAAACACATGATCTCTTCAGCTTCAGATCTATGGAGCAATTCTTCTAGTGTTCTACGTTAAACCATCTTCAGGAGTAAAATCTATAGCACAACCTAAAAACAGGCTTGTAATAAAGACTGCAACTTGAACTACAGAAAGATAAAGCCTGTGTCCCTGTCATCACTGAAGGGTAGAAACTCCTTAGGGTGCCTATAAATAAGGAGCTGATGTCAGTGAGAGGCTGCTGTTATTACAGTTTTATTTCCTGCTAACATTTGGACAGGGATTGTACCAACCTCTTAACCTTGAATCTATATGAGCTGTACAATTTACTTATGAGAACATTTCTTTTCAAAAGGCTTCCTGTGAAATCCTCTCTGTGGGAGAAATTTATCTTCCTGGTGTGACAACCTTCCCGATAGCTATCACCAAGGTCCCAGCCATGACTTCAGAGTAGTTGTGCATCCTCCCCTGCTTTCTCATCCTCGGCATAAGGTCTTATTCCAGAAAGGAATTCCCTTTTCTACAGCTGCACATCTATGCATACTCAAAAGTTAAAGCAAACTCCTTGTAATTATGCTTTGAATTCACAGCATGGATCCAAATTTAAATTACAGATTTAGAACAACACATAGAAAATCTGCTTGACGTTATACATGTTTTATTTGTGCTCTAATATATTCGCCTAGTATTCTACTTGGGGAACACAGATTGTGCTGCTGCCATTTCCTCTTGCATTTCCCATTTTAAGCTGCAAGCAGAGATGACACTTGGTGTTAGTTTCTGCAAGGAAAACTGCAGTAATTAATTTCCAATTATGAACATTTTACTTCTTCACCTGATATGGTATTTTTTAATTCATTTTTTAACATGGGTAAAAAGGAAATGGTGTCTTTAAGGTGGGAGAGCACATCATTGTGCCTGGGAAGAACAGTCAAGGTTGCTTTAAGATCCCGAATACCACAACAAAAACTCTGCTCATCAAGACACTTTGACTTGCCCTGGCTTGATCATTTCAGAAGAAAATTAAAAATGGATCACTGGATCCAGAAGCCTGCATCCAAATCCCATCACAATCCACAGGTTCTCCATGCAAGAGAGCATCAGCCTTGGGATTGACATTGTTGAAAGGAGGAAAAGGTTTAATGAAAGGAAAGTCCTTCTCTTGAGTATTGTGAATTGAAGTCAAGCTTAATAAACACAATTCAGTACACCTCAAACCCTATTTCACAGATATTAATGCATGAAGCTATAGATGTACATAAGTGTAATTCATTAGCTCTTGTATTTATGCTGCATGCATAATCCTTGGTTTGCAGGAGCTCAAGAACATACACACTCTGATAAACACAGGTGAGAAACGCAGGTGTTGCAGCTGGCAATGAGATAAAAGACCTCCTTCTGTTTTATACAGATATATTCCTACCTCATAATGATACTCTATGAAACAGCGACTTATAATTGCAGCCTGCCTCCAACAGCAGTATCACAAAAAAATGTAGAAATCAAATACCTAAACAGTTTTGTATACATGCAACTAATTGCTAATTAGGTATCTAATTGCCTTGCTTTCAGTGCAGATATGTATACCTCCATGTATCTGAGACTTAGCAAAATCAACAGTCTTGAAAGAATTCCCTCACATATGAATTGCCCATGAACCAGGAGGCTCCCTTTAACAAGCAACCTCCAAATTATTCTATTTTACATGTCACTGCGGTATTTATCTTTTCTACTGTTTTGTGCCTAGCTGGTGAGAGGAGACTTTCCCACGTCCTTCATAAATGTTATTGCCCCACTGCTGTGGATCCAGAAGGCAACACGTGAAGTTTTGCCTGGCCAAGTCCTTGTCACTGTGTGCCTGAGCAATGGGCCCCACAGCTGTCCCCATCTGCAGCCCCATGCCCCCAGCCCTCGCTGCCTAATCTCTTCTCAGGCACTCATTATATCCTCAGCCTCAGAGGAACAAGAACCAGAGATTCTAATTCTCGTAAAGTAACTTTGCTATCCTAACGTCATCTTATTTACAAAAATATGGATGGGATGCTTCAGAGCCTGGCTAAGGAAATGGCAAATTTATTTTGATTATCATTTGATTATCGGTTGAGTCTGACTTAATCATGTTTTGTGGGCTTTTGCTATCAGAGGATGCCAAAATCCTTAAGAAGACATTAATAAATTAAGCCTTGGATTAACCTTTGCAACTGATAATATCTCAAGTATTATTCTCCTTGCTTATAGGCAATGCACGTCATACACAGAGGTAAACAAATTGCACAAGCACAAGTCTGATAGTACCTCTTCCAGAAATAAAGTGAATTCCCTTTTGTACATCCTAATCTGACACGAAAAAATGGAGAATATATTTAATCCAAAGCCTGCAGCTCTTTATTTTGTCCCATGATTTATTTGCTCAGTGATTATCTGCTGTGCTCATTTGTGGGCACATGTGCCCAAAGCACGATAGAGACAGGGCAAAAACTATCACTGACTGTAAGAAGGCAGCTGTGATCTGATATGAAGAAGTAAGAGAGAGTCATACACAAACCAAACATTTTCAGAGATACACATATACAAACTAAGCAAGTCAATTGAGAGCCCATCAGTAACACTCCTTGGCTTTCACCTCCTATTTGTAAATAAAGTATGGATGCACATTAGCACATCCTCTGCCTATAACTTTCAAGCTGCCCAAGCCACAAGGAAACAGTGAGCTTTTAATGTATCAATTAAGAACCAAGAATATGAAGACCACTGACCACATCTCAAAGGCAAAACATCTATGTGTGAGAAGAGTCTTAATTTGTCACATTATTAATACCTGTAAGTTAATGCTGGAAAGGAGAGATGCCCACTAAAGGCTGCCTCTAAAAATTTTCTGTCAATGCTCTGCATCGATAGGATTACATTGCTCTGTGCCGACAGAATAAGATTTGTTCTGCCTAAACTTAAGGTCCTTCCTAAACCGTCCACCTTTACTAGTGCTCTCGGCCTTATCAGACAGCATGTCTCCAAGACTACTTCTACTTACTCAGGGTTTTTTGGTACCAAAAGCATGCGAAGTCTCTGTGCTGGACTGCCTTGCTTCATTTTACATCCTCTGAAACACAAGATCCTAGATCCCAACATCTTCTCTCTGCCTCTTGGTAGCCCGCTATAAGCGCAACACATGTCTACAACAGATGTCATGGCGATATCTGGGAGACTACTAGATAAGACCAGTGAAAAGTTGCTTTTTCCTGTGTCCCTGTGAATCCTGGACCTGATATCAACACCAGCAAGCACACTTGGTTAAAACCCCTTGCTCTCTCTGCTCGGTGCATCGTACAGCCACAGAGTGAGGAAGCACGCCACAGAGACAAGAAGACAACGGTGAAAGAAAATCCCGACATACACCGAGTCCCTACATCTCTGTAACCATCACCTTTCATTTGAGGAACTGTCTGGTCTAGCTAGAGAGCTTTTAAGCAGGTTTTTCAAGTTTAGAAATGAACTACAACTAAGTGAAGGCTGAAATATCTATTCAGTAAAAATAATTTAACGTAGTACTGTATTGTCTCTTACAAAAAACTTCACCCATGCACAGCAATATTAAAAAATACTCAAAATATATGAAACTTACATAAATCTTTTACCTTTGGAAGTTAACATCTTCATAAGTACTACATACACTCTATCATCTACTGTTGGACATCATCAATAATAATTTAGCAAATTGATCTGAGTTAGTATTGTTAACTGTTTCATCTAATATAAGTTTTTACATGAAAGAGAATCCTGCAATTCAACTGATTGTGTGAAAAGACCTACAGTAGACATAAGATTTAATCAATTAAAATTAAAGGTTGCCTCTTTAATCTTTCTCTGGCAATGGCCGATACAAGATATTTCTGTAAAACAAATCAATGATCTTTAAGAACTAGAATACCAGCCTTGCTATAACAGGTTATTTGATTTAATTTCCTACTGTATTTTCACAAAGACTTGTGATATTGTGTGCAAGCAAAAACTGCAGTTTTTCTGCCCAACAAGATTCTGCTAATAGAAATCATTGATCTTCATATGAAATTTTTATTCAAATTACCAGCATCTTCTCACAGAAAAAGTGACCTGAGAAGGCAGACGTACTTCTTAAGAATATACCTCCTTCTGAGGAGCAGTGCTCATCCTGCAGTTATAAGAATTGAATGTCTCTTAACACCCAATTAAAATAGGAATACAATCTTCATCTGTCAAAAAAAATGGCTCTTGGATCCCAGGTTAAGCACGCAAAGGAATGTAGTGTTGCAGTTCTCAGTGCCTAAAAGGGCCAGCAATCTTCTAAGCTAGAGAAACACGCACAAAGCTTTTGAAGAAATTTATAAATGGAAAACAAGATAAAAAAAATCAATTAAAATTTGGAATGTAACAATAACCCAATAAGACTTCTGTAGGAACTTGTTCATCAGAATATATAAGAAAATACACTCACTAGAGACATCTCCCGTTTTGCCCAATAGCTTAGACTCAAATGTATGCTCCTCCTTTAACACGTTAGTTTGCAATCTCAAGCTCAATTTAATAACAAAACGAGAGGGGGGAAAAAAGCAAACCGAGCCACAGAAATGAGAGATGACAAAGAATATTTAATTTATCCAAGTAAACTGAACATGGAACTGACCAAAGAAAATGTGATTATGTTAGGTGTTTCTTCTTAAAGTCATATCGAGTGTCTGAGTCACTGACATCCATTTGTTTGATGAACTATGCAATGTGCAGGTTTTATTCAGAGGCTAATTAGGTTTTTATATTGAGAACTTATGAAAAGCTGCCTTATTTCATTTGTGAGTGGCAAATTACCATTTCACCATTCTGTTGCTATGGCAATACCAGCAGCAACTAGTGAGTAGATAAACAGGATTTCACCTATATTCATCCAGATACTACTTTCGGACGTCTCGTTCAGAGCAGTGTTCATTATCTAGCTCAGGACACATTTGCTTTACATTTATGTGGCTGTATAATCCCTAACACGGGCTTGGGGAACATTTGTAGACTCAAATTAATATGGTATATTTAAATTAACAGAGGACATTTGACAGAGCAAGGCATCGTAGACCACTCAAGCAGAGTAATAGATAGTCGGATTTATAAGAAACCTTTAGATAAAGCTTTTTCCTTAAGACAGTTCATGGCAAAAAAAAGAAAGTGATTTGACACTTGTCATTGTAGAGCTGTTGCTCATTTCACCCTTAAACTGCCTCATGCCTTTCAGGTAGGTGACAACATCAATAAGCAGAAAATACATTTTGTTCTCAGTAAATTATGAAATAATGAGTTTGGGTTTCTTTTTGTCAAGGTCAGCCAGTACCATGAGATCTTTACTAATAATGAATGGATAATATTAAGAGGTGGCATTATGTGATATAAGAATAAGTGTTCCCCACAACTCTAATTTAATTATTGTCACTGAATAGAAAGCCT